TTCTGTCAATGTCGGCACACTAGTCGGAGGTAAATTGTAAGTTGTAGGATCATGCTCGTAGGGTGTATCAGAGATGTGCGATTTGATACTTGGAACACGACTTCGAGGTGGCTCATTGAGGTGACTGGCGGAGCTGGCATCAAGACCGGGAGCAAAGGCAGTGGGATGGTGGCTTCGATGCGGAGGAGAAGGTCCATTGGGCCTTCTTATTGATTCTTGAGAATGGACACGTGATGTATTTATCAAAACAGATTCTTGGTGATGTGGAATTCGATCGTGGTCAGCGTTGTATCTACTAGTATCTTCTGGCTGATCAGATGTGTGATGTAAACGACCCCCTGAAAGATGAGATTGCATATGATCAGTAAAATGATTAAGGACCATGTTGATGAGAAACTTATGTGTAGAAGTCCTATGAGCGAGCGCCAGCGGTGGGTGTTGATAAGTAGGTAGATTGCGTTGATCATCATTTTCAGGACAAAAAGATATCCTGGAAGATTGACGACTTTGGGAAGCACTGTGATCATCATCTTGCTGAAATTCATGGGGTCCAATAGACATCCTAGCGGATGGATTGGTTTGAAAAGCAATACAATCTTGATCTTGCTGAAATTCACGGGAACCAAATGACATCCTGGAAGATGTGCCGCTTTGAGAAGAAATACGACCTGGATCTTGCTGAAACTCTCGAGGAGAGATAGACATGCAGCTATTGGATCGATTGCTTTGAGAAGCACTACGATCTTGATATTGCTGAAATTCGCGGGAACCGAACGACATCCTGGATGAAAACCCGCGTTGAGAAGCACTCCGATCTTGATTGTGTTGGAAATTAAGATTGGGGTGGTTAGACATCCGGGAGGACGGACGGTCATGCTCCCTTTGTGATGAAGGGCGCGGGTTGAAAGACAGGGGGGGGCTGGAGTCACCGCAGGCAAAGCAACAAAAGGTACACGATTGCCTTCAAAACTGAATTGAAAGCCGTCCGTTATACATGGTTGAAGGTCAGTTGACTGATAGCCTTCCATTGCTGCGTGAGATTGGGTTTGTTGACACATATCATACTCGCTTTGTGATGATGGAGGGCGCGGGTTGAAAGATTGGGGGGGTTCCAGAGTCACCGCAGGCAAAGGAACATCAGGTGTGCGACTTCCTTGAAATTGGAATTGAAATCCATCCGTTATACGCGGTTGCAGGTAAGCTGACTGATAGCCTTTCGTTTCTGCCTGAGGTTGGGTTTGTTGAAACATATCATACTCGCTTTGTGATGGAGGCCGCAGGTTAGAAGATTGGGGGGGTTCCGGCGTCACGGCAGGCTCAGCGACATAGGGGACGCGATTTTTTTCAGATTGAGATTGAAACCTATCCATTCTACGCAGTTGCTCGTATGTTGACTGACGGCCTTCATAGGGTGGATTGGATATGTTGTAAGGATTATGTATGGGACTGGAGGAGGTTTCAACATATCCTCGATCCAAGAAGGGAGATTTGTTGTTCCTTCTTGATACTTCTGGAGATGGCAGGAGGAATGCTTTTGGGAGATTTTTAGTATTAGCAGGAGCGGATCGGAAGGTTACATCAGGTGACAAGGAGCTGGGACGATTTGGACTCGTAGAGTCCAGAGCATCTGCGTGATTTTGGTTACGAGACCTCTGTCGTGATGCTTCTTGAGACCGCGCGCGTGGTGTGTCGTTCGATTTGCTGGTATGCTGTGACGATGAAGTGGGAAGATTAAGAGATCTAGTCAGGCGTTGATGACCCGCGGAAGGTGGGTGCTGTGATTCCCCCCTGATGGATTCTTGAGAGGTTTCGGGATGAGATTTAGGAGAGATCTGGGCATGTGTATAGGTTGGATAGGATGAGGGAATTTGAGGTTCCTCGTAGCCAGGGTCACGTCGATTTGCAGGCTGCTGATGGGTTTGAAATCTCTTTAGTGACTGTGACAGTGACGGGTTGTACAAAGTTGATGCTGAAGGTGACCTTTGGATGTGAGAGACAGGCAGTCGAAGGTCACTGGTGGAATTTGGACTTTTACAATTGCTTGCAGAGCTTGGGACATGGTCTGGATTCAAAGGAGAACCTCCAGTACTGGTTGTCGCGGATTCTCGAGAATGAGTACGTGATTGAGTGGGAGTTCGTCGAACATACTGGAGAGGCAAGTTGATTGGAAGACCCTGTGGCAATGAGGATTGTATGAATGATGAATTCTCAGATTCATGATGATCAGCTTCTTGAGGGATGTTCTCCACCTCGTTTGGTATCAGATGTGAAGGGTCATTGTTGCTTCTTGGTTCTCGAGATTCTGGCGAAGTGAGATTGTTGGTTTTATCATGGTTTTGAGATAGCGAATCAGCAAGTTGGGTTATAGGCGTACGATTAGTCTGAGTATGTGTTTGAGGGAGGTGTTGTAATTCTTTGGTTGATGCATCGACTCCCACTCTAGGGTCCTGATGGGTAGCATTGTCGTGAGGCGGTGGCATAGAGTCATTTGCTGAAGTTTGGGCTATGTTTTGATCGTTCGACCGTATACAAGAGCGCTTGGCGTTTGACTCCTCGGGGTGATTTGATATGTGAGGACGTTTTTGAGGCTCGAAGGGGACCTCCGTAGGCTGAAATGGGACGTCCATAGGCTGAAATGGCTTTGGGGAGCTGCTGTCGTGCGGCGGTCGACGGGAACGCTTGGGCTGAGTGCTCTCTTGATGAGATGACGGGTGAGGACGCTTTGGAGGTACAAGTAGGCTTGTATGATTGCCATCTTCGGTTATGGCTTCGAATGAAGTCAAAGGGTTTGAGAGTGAGAGGATGGCTGAATGATGATCTGTTGATAAATGATAGGGTAGTTTGGCGATCTTATGTCGTGCGCTAGGGAGAGATGGAGCTCCAGGGGTGACAAGCAAAGGATCATACGAGGCAGAGAGTTCAAGCTCTGACTGGGCAGGGGCGGCATTGTTGAGAGTCTGAGGTGAGGCAACAAGTTGTTCAACGTCTTCAAAGAGCTCCAAAAGCGTATCTCGTCGGTCATTTTCATCTGTAACAAGTCGCAGTGAGTCCAAATCCAAGCACATGAATGACGAGTATAGATGAACACAGGCTGTACTTACCAGCTAAGTTGGTATCCACATCGTAATGGCCCATGGGAGATTCCACGACTTCGTTTTTTGGACCTGGAAAGAAGCGTTCTTCTTCAGAGAGGTTCAACTTTTGAAAACCTATACAGTCAACGCACGGCTTTGATAGAACTGCGCATGTGACCTTGGATCTTCCAAACTAGGGGTTGGACTGTGGTCAACGTGGCCTGTTGAGAAATAGACTTGCTTGGACATTAGCAAGACGCCGGACAATGTATCACCTCATGAAATGAATCTGACCAACCTTGATCTGTTGATGACATATCAGAAACAATGAGGACGAAAGGAAGGTCGGAATTGGTTGTGATGTTAGGAGAATGAGCTATGTACTTGATATAAGATCGTGAAGATGAATGATAAGGAAGTATAAGATTGTGAAGAAGAAGTTGTACGAGTTGAAGTTTCCGAGATTTGCCTAGTATGTTGAGACTCTAGAGTTCTAAAATATTAGAAATATGTATGTATCAACTTCCAAGACACCTCAAAGAGATTGAAGTACAAAGTCTATATCTAGTATAGTAAGTTTGCATCAAAGAAAACAAAACAAAAGATATCAGCGGCCGATACGCCCTTATGTGCAAGAAAACAAGTTGATCGGCCTTTGATTGCTTGTTACAGCGATCAATCGATCAATCAGTCTATCAGCCTGGCCTCGCCTTTATCTCATTCGTCTGACATGAAGGTTTGCGTATAGCTCATACCCAATCTTAGAAATATTCCTTTCATTGCGGACGTAGAATCAACATCACGCTGTTGGAGTAATTAAATTCTGCTTCATCTACATCTTTGATGATCTGTTCGAAAGCTTGCTATTTTGCACCCAATCCCTCCTTATAACCCGTACTTGGCTTCCTGGAGAAGTCATCTTCATCTGACTTATCGTTACATTATTTTAGATATCAACTTTATTTCATCTTCCCAGCGAAGACCTTTCAAAGTCTTGCCGTATACTCTTATAACCTTGACTTCCTGGAGAAGTCATTTTCATCTCACTTACTGTTGCATTCCTTGACATATCCGTTTTGTCTTGTTCAAAAAAAATCCACCTTAGGGCAGTCTATTCTTCATTTTTGCTTCTTCCTTCACTTGAGCAGATTGATCATCTCCCCCGCCAAAGGCAAAGTTTCAGAAAGCATGAACACCATCGTCGCTTCCAAACGTAAGTTGATAATCATTTTTGGGCATACACTGCTCCTCTAAATTGTGCTAATGGGATCTTCATGTTTGCGGGAAAAGCGTTTCTCCATCAACCTATGCACTTCAAAGACGGGGCTGGAGTCAGCTCTGTGAAAGCTCAAAATCGAGAAGTTGCTAAGTGGTTACCTCAGCGCAACTCGGGCTCTTATCAGGCCATTACGGACTACATGAAATTTCTGCTTGGAAGATTCAACTCTCGTACACCCTATCCTGCTAGTCCAGAACCTTTTGAACTCGATGCGCTCCCTCAACTATCTTCGGAAACTATCTTCGCTGATTTCAGTGTTTTTGCCCACGATCTTCCGCCGCCTAGTCCTTCCCAACAAACTATAAAGCTCTTACCTCGGCAAGCCTCTTGTTGGTTTCCATACAGGAGGCTCTTTCTTCAAGATCTTACTCGATATTCTATCCCTCGTGCCACTCTAGCTTGGGAGTCATCCGTCAGCTCACCTTGGAATCAGATCATGCTGGTGTTCTTATTAAAGCACTGGCGATGGGCTATGTTGCAAGGGGCATTCTCTCAATATCATCCTGATCCTAGATTTTCAAGCGATTCGATATGTAGAGCTGTCATGGAGAGATGGTTTCGAGGAAGAGTGGGCCAAGATGAAAAATATCGCCTCAGAAAAAAGAAAAACCAGAGAAGAGCTACAGTAAGTCCCCTTCCCGAGAATTTTGTCCTTTTGTTCAATCACTAAGATCCACCTGTCCCCAGATTTATCGTTACCGCCTAGATGCTTTAGAAGAATTTGTCGAATCAGACGATAGAGACCTGCTCCCGTCTGCTTTAAGCTTATGCCTCATGTTGCTCAGACACAGAGGACGATGGACCTGGTAAAACCCGCGCCGTTGGTATGGCTTGGAGGAGTGAGGAATTCTCGGAGTTCATGTACTTGCTTGATAAGCTTTCCTTCAAACAACAGAAGGCTTTGCACGGGTCAAGATGGGCGGCTGGCCGGCTTGACATGAGAAGATCTCCAGCTATTCAGATCCTATCTCACGGTAAAGCCCCTCGAAATCTCCCATCAAATTGCTACTGTCCTGAGTGGAGGAATACATTTGGAGAAACCCATAAACAGCTCCTGACTCAAAAACCTGCCAGTTCAACTCTTAGTTTACTGACAGCAAAAATACGCCAATCACTTGTTTGAAATCACCTTGTCATACCTAACGTGTTCAGCCAGCGGAAATTCATGTGCTCAGTCGACATTCAGACGCATATTCATAGAATTTTGATGAACAACAGGAAATCTCATTTTTTAAAACATATACTCTCACTCATAAGTACAAATCTGTCCTGACTATTTATCCAAGAATATTGTATCTAAATATGCTTTTAGTGGAATACATCATTCAGTTGCTTTAATCTTCACCATTCTGACGTGTTGCCTGCGTCAATTGAGATCTTCCCCATCGTGGTCAGATAGATCATCCAGAGGCCAACTATATTAGAGTATTAAAAAACTTACTATGTTGCGCAGCCCTACTATACCTAGAGTCTCCTCCGCAATACCGAGGTGACCGGGTAGATAGGGCAAAACAATGATGTGTCCCATAAGATCGTGAACATCAACGACCACAGTACGTTCTATCTTGGAGTATACCCTGGCGGCCTGAAGGCGGGGGTGAGAAACAAAGCAATCACGTGCTGAATCACTTGCATTCAGCTGGGTGAATTGGTCGACCGCTAAAAACACCGTTGGGACTACCTTTGATCGAAACGCATATTTTATGTATCCAAAACGACGCTGCCCCTGAATGCAATACTCGATTGCGCTATTACCCTTACCTTTGACGCGCTGATTTGAGGTGTAATTCTTACCACAGATCTTGAGTAGTGTGGTGGTTTCGACGACTGTAGGCAGAGTTGGGCTGCAATTGGAGATGAAATGATAATCATAGAATTGTCCATAACGTTGATCCAGCTCGAAATTCAGATAATTGAGCCAGATTTCATAAGTATCGCGCTGTAGGCTGGTCTCCTTAGACCATTTTGTCTTTGGAGTCTCCGTAAGATCTTGAATCACTTCTTCTCGAATGTTCGCATCGACACGGCCTAGGAAGGTAGGACAGCCATTCAACACCGCCTTGAATAGTGCTCGCCGAGTGTAAGTCTGTGTCATTGTCTTATCTATGTCCGCTACAATGATCAATACAAAACAAACAGTTGATACATAACGTCAACATAAATTGGTCAGCTCACGTCAATAGAATGAAAAACATACCTGTGTGATGATTTTTTGAGGTTTTAATCAGCATCCCTATCACACGCTCACCAAACATCGTGCCAGTGTACGGTGGAGGACCAAAGAGCTCCGTGACTTCAACAAGATGCTGCAAGAAGTGCAAATTGGGCTTGATACTGACACCCTTCCAAAAAGAGCCGAGATGTGTCCGATAGCTATGCACTGCTTGTTTGAGATCTTCCTTATCCTTTTTGGTTAATGTTCGAGACAGAGCACAGTTTGTAATCTCCACTAAGTATATCAGGCTCCGACATAGGGCCTGGTCCTTCGCGTCTGTTGAAAAGTAGAGCTTAGGGATGATTGTGAGGACCATATAAACCGTGTAAAAAGTCAGCCATTCCATTGCACTCGGATTTCCAGACTTTGGGATTCCGATCTTGATTGGAGGGCGGTTCATCCAACTTGGCGTTTTTGCTGTTGAAATCGCATGTCGGATCTCGATTAGATCGTCCATTGTAAGTGATGGATTCGCGGTAGTGGGGTCGGATTGACCTTCACTTGGTTTTGAAGACTTTGAAGCAACAGTTGCGGTTTTTTTGTTTCCTTTTTTTTTGAGGACTGCGCAGATGCGCGAACCGTGATGTTTGAACCGCTTCGAAGTCGGCCTGTACTGACCTTACCATGTACCGGTCTTTCAACGGTAGCAAGGCTCGTGGAACTTTGTGACCGCAGTCGATTGGATCGCCGTAGATCAGACCGCTGGAAATTGGGATCTTCAGACGATGGAATCAAGACAAGCTCGGTAGAAGACCTAAAGGTGAAGGCGCCTTGGTCCTCGAGTCTATTCGGTGCCTCAGGTGTCAGGAAAGGTACAGGGGTCCCAATGGACGCGCCCACCTTTGCTCTTTTAGCGTTGTTGATTTGATTACGTGACCCACGTGGTCTGCCACGTTTTCTGGGTGCTGGAGACTCTGGTTGGATGACTTCACTACAAGATGAAGAAGGTCCTTTTCCCGTTGGAATGACTTGCTCCGTAAATGATTTCAAGGATGATGCCTCGCTTGTTTTGTCGGCAGCTGAACTAGATTGGGGGCGATTTGAGCTTGCAGATTCATTCAAATCGGGGATGCTCGACCAGTCCATCGGCAAACTTTCATTCATATCGCTCGATTGTTCCGTTTGCATGCTGTTGTTGTCTTGTGAGCTTGCTATTTCTGATTCTTCTGAGGTTGAAATACCAGACTGAGAGAAAGATAAGTAGGATGCAATCAGCTTTTCATTTCTTTCCACTGAATACCATAGGATTATCAAAAGAAAGTTGCTCACATCAACGTTTTTGGAGACAAAAGATCCTCCAATCAGCGGATTACATATAATCGAATGAGCTTCGGCATCCAGCTTTGCTTTGAGCTTTTTACCCGCTTGACCAAGTCCTATAAAATTATGCGCATGATCCTTCAAAGTTCCAAGGAGTAAACAGTGCATAACATCGATGGTGACAAATTCAATGGGTCGCCAATAGGGAAGCTCAGATAAAACTGTATATCGAAGCCCGTATGTGTTGAATATTGTTTCTTGTTTCTGTTGTGTGAATGCATCCTTCCATTCTTCTGCGTGTTGTTGATGGTTGATTCTTTCTGGCCATAGATCAGGATCAATAATGTGTCGTTCTCCCAGCACAATACCACAGTGCGCGCAGAAGTGTGTTGCCGTATGCGAACCAAAGCCAGCCACTTTCCGCATGGCTGGGAGATCCGCTATAAGGGGCCATAGCGCGGCACGTATGAGACGGCCTTCAGGATGATCCGCAGTTGATGTTAGAAAAATGCCTCTCCAAAGTTGTTGGAGTTCGGCCACGAGCGGCTTCAAAAGTTCGTTCATTTGTTCAAGAGCCGGTTCGCTAGGTCCAGGAATTACGCCAAAAAGAAAAAGGTTCTCTTGCTTGTATCGTTTGTCTGGTGGCAGATTGTAACATATGAGAAGCATTATACCGTGGGATCTTGCTTTTCGAGCCCCTCGTCCATGAGGATTGAACCAATCGACGAATAACCCAAAGACTAGGTTTCCACTTTTCGAAGTGAATGGGATTCCTGAGTGCCCAAAAGATCGCCACATCTCGCCATCCCATATGTCACGCATGGTTTCGCCATCGTACTGATGCTGTAACGGAGCATCCAGAGCATCTTCAAAGCCGGGAATACTGAACATCCTAGCCAGCCAGGTTCGAAGAGAGTGGTAATGAAATTGCTGGCATGGTGTGGGAACGACACCTGAATAGAGAGCTCTTCCGCAAGCATGACGTGTAGTTGGAGTACCCCTTGGTTGATTAGGCTCTCGCAAAAAGCGTTTAGCATCACACACCGTCCTGGAAGTTTCATCAATATCTTTAGCTGGTGGGCCATGGAGGGCGAAACATTCCGGGCAAACGACCTGAGATTCCAGGCTGACCTCAAGGTTCAGCATCGTATATAACGTGGGCAGAGTTAGCGGTAAGCTCTCCCAGTATGGACGACCGGTATAATTCATATCTTTCGATGTTTGTTCTATCAGCCGTCGGTTGAAGTGAAGTAAAGTCCGGCACGCTCGATTTTTGACCCCTTTCACAATACCTGCGTGTGCGACCTGGAGCATCCCAATAAGGCATGAAGGTCGCTGAAGGTAGACCTGCGGGATCTGGTAGGCGGCCGTTGAGACTGTCTCGACGACATACAGAGGATCAAGAGTGTCGGAATGGGTTCTTCGAATTGTCTGCGAGCTGCTTCGGCGCCTTCGCGCTCCAGGCACGTTTGAAGCTGGTGACGAACGATCTGGATTGTGAGCTGGGGAACAGCTCTGCAATCTGACGGCGGCCAGGTGACCAGTACTTAGAGACCTCTGGCGCCCCTGGAACAGACAAAATGCTTAATCAGCGATCAGCTAAAAGATAATAAAACAAACAATACGGACCACGATATATGTGTTAGCGTGGACAGACGAGGCACCGGCTTGAGACGCTTGCTGAGCTACTTGAGACGCTTGCTGAGCTAGTGGTGTTGATACGTTCTCACTGGTCTGTGTCAAGCGAATCCTTCGCAGTTTGTCTTCGTGGTACCGCCCGTTTTGCTTGTTTCTCGCTTTGCCTTGACGAAGAACACCGTCGAGCTCAAAACTTTCCGCCGCACAACCAAGCTCTTCACAGCAGCAGATGTGCTGGGCCATCACAATGGACGATTGAAGTCGATAGAAAATTGAAGTCGATGAATTGGAAGAACAGATGATATAAAACCGAAGTTGAGCAATCGGAGTGGTGTGTCAGTGTAGGCGATCAGGAAATATCACTGTTTCCCACTTGGAATGTTTTCTGGAATATTTTATTATGTATTCGCCAGATCTAAGCATCACGTGATGCTCTAAAACCCGTCTTCCTCGCACACCAAACTCAGAGCACCTCTGCATTCTTACCAGCCTGTCTTTCACCAACTCAGGCAGAAAGCAAGTCAAATTGTGGGAGACATACATCTTTTCAAGGTTTTTGAGTGAGAATGTTTCGTTTATAAATTGACAGAGACTGCATGATTTAAAAAACCAATCCATTGAGGCCCAAAATATATACATATGTAAACTATAACTTGTAGATGAGAGAGAAAAGTGAAAATCATGAGTTGTTTATAGATAGTTAAAGACTGCATGATCTAAGAAACCAATCCATTGAGGCCCAAAATATATACATTTGTAAACTATAACTTGTAAATGAGAGAGAAAAGTGGAAATAATGAGTTGTTTACGAATAGTTAAAGACTGCATGATCCACGAAACCAATCCATTGAGCCCAAAAATATATACATATGTAATGAAACACTACGGATCTAAGACAAAATGACCTGTTGTAAAAAATTTAATGAGATTAATCTGATCCGGTGGGAAAGAATGCTATTCACGAACAAAATGCCACGAAAACTTACTTATATCCTCCTAGATTCCATAGTACGCACCGTACTGGACGACAACATGATGATCAAACAGTTCAAGTATCTTTGCTTTCAAAGTCCCACAGGGGATGCGCTGAGTTGGCTTGAAGTGCCAGATGATCTGTCAAAGGCGATCTCCAGTGGTCCAATCCGGGACCCACCCGGGCAAGAGGTATCGGAGAAGATGAGGGGGTAAGGTCGAGATCTTTGACCAGAAGTCTAGATCTTCGTGAACGGAGGGAAGGGGACGCCTATAGGGTGGCACGTCCCTTAGTTCAGCCCGTTGAGCAATTCTTGGAGAACGACGGCGTCGGGGATTTGGAGGTTGAGCTATGAGAACTGAAGGACTGCGTCGACGAACTGGGGCTTCTAAAGCTAAGTTTTCTATTTGAAGATTTTCTACCGCTTGGTCTTCCACTATCAAGCCTTCTGCCCTGACTTGAAGACCGCGCGCGTTTATTTCTACGTCAGTATCAGGAAGAAGTTGAGCTGGGGTTCGGTGACCGCGCGTGCATTGGGTGGTGGTGATGGATGAGTTTTCCGCCATGGTGAGGTTGCCGTAGATCTTGATGGACCTGATTTGATTTGTAACTATCAAAACGATTACAGTTTAGCAATCGACAAGACCCCGGGGGAAAGAAAAAGATAGGACCAACATACCCAGCAAGAGAAAAGCGTTGGCGATCTGGATCAATAAGTTGGTTTGAGAAGTGGCGTGAATTGTTTTCAATCTCCAGTGACTCAGACCTTTAAGTACGAGTGACTTACCAGGAAGGCTTCTGATGATGAAAAGGTTGCCGGAGGGAGGGCGTTGGTCCTTTGACCATCCTTCATTGGACCCGTGGACGATTTTCAAAGGCGAACATAAAGGAGACCTTGACCAATCGGAGACAATCGTCTTAATTAGCGGTGAGAGCTATCAATTCATTGGCAAGGTTCAAGGAAATGTCAACAGCGAGGCGATTGTCTGGATGAATGGCACCGGTGACATTTGGTGAGGTGCGGTGATCGCAGAAGAGACACGATCATCTTGAAGAAGGGAGTGACCGGTAGCAACATCTTGGGGAAGTCTAAGATGGATTTGAAGAACGGGGAAAGAGTGACCGACAATTCAGTCAGTGTATATGATAACTGAGGAAAGGGAACGGAAGGGAGGGTCAACGTTTGTTGTATGTATGTACATACCATTCTTTGACAGAGTATGTACACACACCAGACATCCCAATGTCCTTTGGTTTACCGTTTCATACATAAAAGTTCCCTCAAATTCCGGCCATAGTTCTGGAAGAGCGTCCAACGGTTAACATACTTGTATCCGACCCGTTGATCAACTGTACCGCCGAGGAAAACCATTCAACTAACCCCTTTCAACGATGAGTAAGTAACCTTGAGTAACGGTAAAGATAGTACTTTAGATGGAATCGAGTCTACTCAGTCAAGTGGCTAAGGATGAATAGTTCAAACATGGAGGTTCATCCTGACTGACGACGCTACTGCGATGCTCAGTGATTACAGGATTGTGGAACATCGTACTGTACAAAAATCGGACAATCGCTGTAGGCAGAGCTCACCGGACGTCCGGCGCATTTCTGGTTGACACGGTGTATATAAGTTCGCCATGATTTTGTCTTTGACTGCCAAAGCTGATGCATGGTTGTCCGGTGTAAACCACCGTAAGTTTCCTAGATTATGTTCAGGGATGCCTTGGTGGAATCCCAATACCAAGCCTTTAAGTACATGATTCCATTTTTCTAGTAAGTTGCCTTCTTCCAACAAAATCTTCCATTCCTGGATTTTCATCTCGCATCGCGCCTCTGTCGGCCAGTTATCTAAAGAGAGTCTTTCGTTGATGATATATTTGTCTGTTGGTGTCTGTTGATGAACCATTGGGCTTAACTCATCAATCTCATCTAGCTCAACTGGACTCGTTTCGACTGGCGCTTTCTCAACAGGGGTCGGACTAAAATAAATTTCCGTCATATAAGAGATCAGAATAAGATGAAGAAGCAACAATCATTTCAAGCATCAGACAACGTGAACGAGGAAGAAACAAAATATTCAATACAATCAGCACCACTCTTCCTTTTTTCTGATCACAAAAGCGAATTTGGAAACTAGAATTGAGGACTTTGGAAAGAGAAAACAAACAAGACAAAATAGACATAGGGAATTGATTTTCTTAGGCCACAGAAGGACAGGTACGTTTTTTTTTTTTTTTTTTACTTACTTTGAAGCGCTGTTGTTCTTCTCATTACTTGGTCCACCTCCCCCTTTACTAGCTCCCATTCCTCTAGTAAAGCTTCCTGGTCCAATAGGAGGCCTATTTTGCACCTGACCTCGACCATTTCCGGCACCACTTCCAAAACCACCACCACCACTATTCCCTCCATTACCATTCCCATATCCATATCCGTTACCGAAATTTCCGCCTCCTGGTCCGTATCCCTGGTTTTTTGGCATTGAGTTATTATAGTATGGTTGGTGGTAAGGGTGAGGGCGATTATTACAGTTATTATTTGAATTGAATGCTGAAAAACCTCCCCGTGTTTGGTTGTTTTGTATTGGTTTCACATAATTAGGGTCAAAAGTTTTCCCTTTGAACCAAGGGTGTGGGTTATGATTTTGTTTTGCTGAGGTACTCGCTATCATTCGACTTTCCGGCAGGGTTTGGATCACTGGAGTAGCTAAGTGTGACACTAATCTACCTGTCAACATCGCCGCTTGGGCTTCACCACTAAAAGCTTCATCGTCCCAAGGTTTATCTGCTGGGTGAGTCCTTCCGGTTATCGGATTCACATGTTGCCATTCACCTCCTAACATATATGGGTTATCACCAAAGACGTCTTCTCCGTGATGTTTCGCATCTCTAACTGCTTGTGCCGCCAATACAGTATTCAATGTACCTACATCCGCCATGGAGCCGTCAGGCATTCGATGCTCCCACACATTTCGTCAATGAGCAATATCGTATCCCATCACCGGGGTCCACATTCCGAAGTTATCTTCTTGAATCTACAATACGTTTTCTTTATGAACCAACAAACGAGGTGCGATTGGGTAATCTTTTTGACCGTCTAAGACATCATATTCTAATTTTTGGTATTTGACCATTAGGTCAAATCTTGTGGACCATTCTGCTTTACTTAGGCGATATTCATTTGGTACTTTCAAACCTACGTAAGATATTGTATCTGATGTACAGCTAACAGTTTTTGTTCTCTTCGTCTTCATATAGGTCGAATCTTCTAATAACCAGGCTGTAGAGAAAATAGTGACAGGGACATGTATGTTTTTGTTTATCATGACGTTATGCCAATATTCAGATAGTCTAACCATGTTGTGTTTGAGTTGTACACCTAACTTCATATGAGTGTTGGTCTCTTTCTTTGATGTAGTGGTTGGTTTGGATTTTGCCACTAGGTCTTTCTCTTCGTCATCACTGGATTCGAATTCGTATTCGTTTAACCCGGTGTCTCTTCGTTGAGTACCCGCTTCTTCACACCATTCTTTGTAAGCTTCCGTGAACATTCTAAACTTTGCTATTTTGTCTTTATTAAAGGCTGTTTGAATGTTTCGAATCCATTTAGCATGCTCTAGTTCGATAGTAGGGTGTTCTAACGTATTTTGCACATCGGCTTCTGTTTTGATTAAAGGTAGCAACAACACAACAACGCAATTTGTAAGTTCATTTGACCGGACTTTTGGCCACTCTGTGCCACTTTTATCTTTAATCGGAACACAGGCCACTCTTTTAACGTATCACTGGACAGGTCTCTTTGTATTGTATCACTGGACTTCTTTCAATTTAATATATCACTGAACATCATTCGTATCACACTTCGCATATATCACGGGACTTATTCGTGCCATCTTCGGATCAAGGCGTAATGGATATGGGGGGGGGGTTGGGTATGGTTGATATCTAGCACGTGAGTGGAAAACTTACCGAAACCTATGTTCATCTCTACATCTACTCCTTCTTCTTCGTTCTGTGGTGGTTGTATTCCCATCTTTTCTTCTTCGTTTTTCTGTTGCTTTCCTCCTTCTTCCACTTCTTCATCTCCGATTTGATCTTCCATATTGTTTCCGAGTTTTACAATCTTCTTCTTGATGTTTTTCTTTGTCTTCTTTCCTCCTTTTAATTCTTTTGTTTCTCCCACCTTACTTATCTTTTGATCTTCTGTTTTCATCACAGTATCTTCCCTATCGACTCCTTCAACGATTTGCATTTCCTCCATTTTGTTTGATTCTTTCTTCTTTCCTTGTTCTATGGTTGTCGATGGTCCAGGGGTTGGGCCTCGAGAACGTAAAGATCTTCCATGTAACAGATTAGCGATGGATTGTTGTTGAGACATTTCGATTATATTAGATCAAGTATTCGTTTGCGAAGAGTTTATATGAAAGAAGAAAAATTTGATATCTGAAAATGTGAGAGAAATGGTGCTTGAAGAGGACTTCTTGAGTTGTTGTTTGGTTCAGTGAGTGAAGGTGAGGAGTTTACTTCCTTAACCTTCCCTCGGTGAACGTGGACTCTATCATCTACTATCTCGGTACTGTTCTGTTTCCGGTCCCGAGAGATTCATCTCGAGGGCATATTCCTCTTTGAGCTACATGGAACTTACAGGTACCGTCGTGCCTTTGGGTACCTGTATCACTCAATTTTGAAGTGAAGAATTGATTTGTTGTGTTTTACTGATATAAAGAGACTGAGATTTTACTGTATAATCCTCTTGAATGGACTCACTGTTTTGGTGTCTTCTTCAATCCAATACTATGGATTGGCGCTCAAGATGCTCTTTGATGACACACAAGTGTTGGTTCCATGAGAGTATACCACAATCCACCAGTCCATATTGACAGGAACACAAGCAGTGGGGATTGTTGATACGCTTGCACATTTGTCTAGTGCAGTTCCTTTGACCAAATTTGTGGATGAGGTTGAACCCGGATAGTATTCAAAGATAAGTTATTTGATGGAGCTCAAAGCTTTGGATTGCGTAGGCTTTTCTGGTAAATCCAAAATGAGTGCCCCCTAAATGAATGTGTTGCTATTCTTCTTGGACCAGTCATTATTGAGACTGAAAGTGGCCAAGGCGCTTGATAAGCTAGGATGAGCATTGCAAGCAGCTGCACCAACCGCAGTGCCAGAAAACAATTTCAAAATCTCTGAATTGACTTTTTGTGCTTCAGAGCAATAGATGAATCTACTTTGTTCCTGATGGCCTTGCCATCATCCGGCTAAAGTGTACCACAGCACCTCCATCCTTGTCAAGTGCAACAATCAATGTGACAGGATTCTTTTGCATTATTGGCACTGCATTCCAGATTGAATTACTTCTGGTCACAATATGACCACCAATGCAAAAAGGCAGAAAAGTATCGAGAGGAGCTGGAAACTGTATTTTCTGGCCAGAAGAGGGGCTTAACAGGAAGTGTTCATAAGTCAAATAAATGTAATATGGCTACAAGGTAGAATGAGATCAGTGTGATGAAACTTGATACTTTTGCAAGTAATTATCACATACTGAGTATCCGCAAGATAGACATGCATTTTGGTCCGCCTTTCTATCATAAGAGGCTTCACAAGTGATCCAGAAGAGCTGATAGAAATGATCATCAATCGCAAATCTGATAAAATAAGAAATGGCAGGTGTCTCATAGAAATCACGTATTAGTGATGAACACAGCACAGCAGCTAGTAGGTATCACTAAGAAGTGAGTAGAGAAAGAAGAGCACCTGTTGTAAGGTGACAAAAGTAAAGAGATGAAATGTTTGAGTGAGGAAACAATTAACATGCAAACAAGAACTCTTTATATATGGGGATTCTCTCTAGACATAGGCCTGGTGAACAAATAAAGTTGTGAGTATCATTCACCGCATTGGTATTAGTTGGTAGAGTGGGCAAAAGGAATGGAGCAACAGAACAAAATGGAAGGAATCTGATGAGCTCAAAGCGGAGGTGTAGGATGGTAACTATTGTAACAGGAATGAGAAATGGGAAATTCAATACCCCCCTCAATAGTAAACATCCTACAATCTAAAGAAACCAAGGAAGTCTTGATGTTGTAGCTGTTTGAAGTGATTTGGTGCATACTAACAACACAGTGAAGGACAGCAGGGGGTTAGTATGCTAGTCGAGTGTGAATGGAGGGTAATTCGATCACATTAGTAATGATCATCCATTTCTTGAAGAGTTGAAGTGAAGTGGTGTAAGTTGATCTTGCAATAAACTTGATGATAATCAAAATGAGTGATTTTGAACCGGAGTGATATAAGTGTGAGCAATGGGTGCCAAATACTCTGTCAAAAGAACTTGAATAGATAGTTAGTACAAATCAATGATTAAAAATGGACAGTGTTGTTTGATATACTTTGAGTGTTGAGAGAAATAAGTCTACTCTACACTGATTAGATCAAGTAGGAAGAATGAAATTCTATTTTGAAATAACAAAGTGTTGAAAGCAAATCAAGAAGGAAGAACTTGAGGTTGATGAGAGGATTACAATATCTTGAGCTTTACTACGGCTAACCGAATTCTAGATGAAGCAATCATTGACATATGTCTTTTCTAGTTGAGATTGAGAAGAATACATATGTGGATTGTCTCAATTGTACATTAAGTTGAATCAATTCAAGTGCATTGATTGGAACAGTTGATCGAGTTGAAGGAAGTTGAAAGATGAGGCCACGACGTGATGATTGGCCTGGATGGAATTAAATAGATGACCAGGTATGATTCAAGTCAGCCACGGCGAGGCAAGGGGATTACCGAGATCGACCAAAAAAGCATTGATGGCAGCAAACCAAAGCAAATACTGAATGTGAACAACTAAATGGTTGATTGGATGATATTGGATTGATTTTATTGAATTTAACCCAATGTCTTCACGATAAGCTGATATGAATTGGACCATATGAAGTAGCGAGTCGAGGTGTGTGCTGATATCAAAAAAGAAATCAAAGGAGTTGGACAATTGATGAGTTCAAAAGATGTGATTCTGGTGGCGCAGGGCAGACTTCCACATGCGATTGATGATGATTCCAGTAAGACGAAGGGAACATTGCGTATTGTGGGCTAAAACTCCAGAACTTAGGCGAAGGGTTTCAAGTATCAATGAAATTGTGTCAGAAGCAGCACTGACACAGTCATATGAGCACCTGCGAAAGAGTTTTCAAAAATAAGACTTGTACCACACTGGCAACATTGTATATCTAAGTTTGATCATGCCAGCCATGCAACCGCGGAATGGATCATTACAGATACGTCTCCCTTTGTTTTGTGTCGATGTGAGCGTGCGCCCGGAAGAGCAGGAAGAAAGCTCTGCCTGATACCATCTGATAAACATAAGTTCAATATTTTCAATATGCATGCCACAGATCAAAGCTCATGAAGACCTTGTCTATATCTAATCTTGACAATCCGGTCCAACATCACTCTTTGTATTTGGATCTATCTGGAAGCTTCGCAAAAACTTTGTGCTCAACAGTCTTTGGAGACACAGTAATCAAAGAACATTTGAAATTTGGATCAACAATTTTGACGAGCTGGAGGTAACAGGTTAGCTTATACTTGAGGTTGAAGGCTAACTAACCTTATGGCCAGTTGTGATCATCCCCAAAGGGTCTGCAAAGGTGTTCTTGTGCCAAACAAGGTAATTGTGTTCCTCAGTGTATTCGATATCAAGAGTGGTTGATAATCGTGGCAAGCTTTCCGCCATTGACTATTATGGTGTCAATATTGGTGGAGTTGTCTGTGGAAGGGGGCATAAGGTTAGGTAGTTTTGGCCAAACAAATGACGGGCTTAAGGGTTTAATCGAGTTTTGCCGGGAAACATGGTTGTGCCTTTAGTGTTATGATCATCACATTCGGACTTGTGATTGGTTTCCGGTTCTTCAGGGACATTAGTACTGTTACGAGTTGTTTTCTAGAGGAGTACAATTGGTTTCCGGAGTGGCCTCCGGATCATTTTCTATGATTACTGGTTCAGTTGATTCTTCATCATCTTCAGCAATTACAGGCAAAGTTCCTGAGATTGGGAAGACTCCGAGTAGGGCTTCACGCTGCTGGGTTCAAGATGGTGCTGTTTGACCGAACTCGGTCAAACTGCCTTTGACAGTTGAAGAGATCTTGTGGAGAAATCACCAAGCATAGTTGGTCTTTGGATCCCATGTGTAAGATTGGGCTGAAGTTTTTGAACGTGATATATCTTCTGTGTCAATTTCATTGCTCTCTTCAAGTAAAAACTGAGTATGCATTTTTTTGGCCATAGTGATGTTGTTTGACCCGGAAACAGTAACCTGAGCAAGCATGTGGAAATTTTCAGTAGACTTCATAACATCAAAGTTGGACAGCATGAGAATTTAATAGACTTACCTTGTGATGAAGCCCGTGCTTTTTCATAACATAAACTAAAGGCTGGGCAAGTCAAACCCCTTTGTGATGCCACACAATCAACTTCAGTGTTAAATGGCAAACCTGATAAGCCCAATTTTCATCTATGAATGTGACTGCTGCACTCAAAAAGGCATGAATATTGTTGTCCGTGGTCCAGCCATCATGTGGCAATCTAGGCTCTTGTGTCCATTGAGAAGGTTTCCCATGCTTCTTGCTCCGGGCCACCTGTGGTGAATCATCTGCTGGGTTCTGTTGCTTGCGCAAAGTGGTCTTGGAGCGCAAGGATTGAGTAAGGGAGATTGTTGCCCGGCCATCCGAAGACGGCGGGATCATCCCGGGTACGCTCTTACAAGGGGTTGGAGGTTGTTGGGAACGGTGAAGTGGTGTTGAAGCTTGGATTGGTGAAGGAAGTGTTTCCTCAGGTGAAGGACTGCTGGCCATGAAAAATTAAATGTATGTATGTTTTTAAGATTGATAGGAGTTGAAGGCACAGATTTTGCCAATGTTGCGATCCAGGAGGGATGTTGCTCTGACAATTTGAGCTTGGAAGTTTGTTATATCACAATAATATTACATTTTATTTACAATTAGGAAAAAGATGGATAGACCCGACCATGACGTCAAAAGTTTCAGTAGATTCATTTGTCTTTCTTATTTCCTTACTATAGAAAATTGAGATTGGATAAGGAAGCAAGGGGTGACAAGTGACATATTTGAATACACCACGGATTCACCCTGCCCTGGGCCCATACCCCGCTGCCACCCTTGCTTCAGTTGCATTACTCTGCAACGAAACGCAACATGGGAAAGCCTCTGGCTCCGAGGAGCAATGCAACTTGCAGCAGACAAAGTAGTTGCGTTGCCACCTAACAGCAATGTGTTGTGTTGCCGCGCATTGCGCACTTTTTGCAATGCAGCGGCCCATCGTTGCAAATGGCTGGACCAGAACTTAATCTGAT